ATACCCACCTTCGGCAGATTCCAATGGTGCTATCTACCCCTAGCCTCAGCCAGTCCTGGATCATGGGCACACGCAAGCCCATGTGTTCAGGGAGGTCACTGGATAGGAATCTGGAACCTACCCATGGGGATCTACTTTTGCAGAATGTTGTATTAATTACTGATGCACCTCCATCTGGCCTCTAAAATGTTAAAATTTTTGACTAAAAGAATTGAGAGTTTCAATCACAGCAGTATTTCTGTTTATAAAGGTTAAAAAATATTCGTCACTGCAGGAAAGAGAAGAATATGCATGTTTTAGCTATCTCCCGGGTTATCTTATTACAACCTCACCACAATCCTCTGAGGTAATTAGGGTGACTGACATCATTTTGACTTCACTGATTAGAAAATTAATGCAGGTTAAGTGATTTGCCGAAGGTTACACAGCTCTCGCTGGGGCACGAACCCAGTCTTCTGACTTTTGAGTAGAGGTCAAATAAGATGGCCTCTCCTCAGACACTCCTATAGTCAACGGGCTTTGGGAACGCCTGAGGAAAATACAAGCCTATTTCCTGACTTAGTTTTAGATCACATTTTCCCCATCTGTCTAATCTGGTGCCGGACTTCAGCAGGCAACTTTGAGGAAGGTGGTTGAGTACAGAAACTTTGTCAGCTTCTACCTTTAGGTTGACATTGGGGACTCGCATGGTGAAGCTTATAGCGCATGGTTATGCTATTGGGGAAAATGACATGGTCTCCTACGGAAAAACGTCACGTACTTTCCATAATGGAGGACTTTGGTGTTAACCAGGAGAGACATAACCTGGGTTTTAATTGATCATAGCTTATTTTGGGCTTAGGTATATGGAAAAGCAGGGTGCCCTGGAATGTTGCATATGCTCTGGAGAGTCTGTACGCAGATGACTTCTTTGATTTCAAAACTTCCACTGGGACTTCCTGACTCAGGGTCTGGTTGAGTTTCACATACCATCGGATCATGAGGTGCTTTGGGGAAGATAAAGACTCTTTGACAGTGGAGAACAACTCTTTAATTCTACAGCCCTTTCTTTTCTTTACCCTCAGGGAGAACCTGTATTCTCTCCCACGAGAAAAACTCCAAATATGATGGATAAGACAAAGAAATATTTAATAAAATTAGTTTAGGAAACGCCAGCAAAAACAATGCATCTTTTCAACAGTTGAAGATGCTATGAATAGACAGAATGTTTCGTGTGTTGAATCTATCTCTAGCCCTTGGGAGAGAAATACCATTTGCCACTAGCACTAGGTTTAAGTCTAGAGCTTCAAAGAACTATGTTCATTTGCCAAAAATCTATCATCTAGTGCTCAACTACCCCCCCAAAACAAAAAGGTTTGTAGAAATGGCTGAAAACATTCTTAAAGTACCAATTTTTAAAAAGGCGTGTTTTCCCATAAAATCTCTCATTCTTATGCATTCACTAACCTGCAACCAAAGCGATGGGCAAGGCTTGGACGCATTTCAGTAGTCCCCAAACACGAGCCAGTTCCTTTTACGGACTGCACCTGAGCACAGTTCCATCTCTCTTTTTTTAAAAAATGTTTATTTATTTTATTTCTTTTATGATTGAGAGTATATCCATGCAAGAGAGAGAAAGACACACACACACACACATACACACACACACACCCTCAATGGAATCTAGTCACACCATTATGCCCTTCTCCCAGCCCTTCAGCCAGTCAAGATCCTGGGTATACATGCACCCAGCAAGTTACAGGTTGCCTGGGGATTCAAACTGCAGTCAGCCATGGCTTCCAGCACTATAGATCATTATGCCATAGACGGCCACAGGGGCTGAGCCCCACTCTCCCATTATGACAGCATATAATTCCTCCTAGGTTGGTAAAAAAAGCCTTTCCGAGACTTCAGACTAGTCTTAGCTACTCTCTACCCAAGTGATTCTTCAAATGCGTAACCTGTTTTTCAGTACACTGAAGCACCTACCTGTTTAAGGACTGCTTGGACTTCGGATCAGTTTTCCATCATGGGAATCCCCTTTGTCTGTCTGTCTGAGTCTTGGGAATCCCCTTTCTCAGTCTTTGTCTCGCTCCTGCAGTCAGTTAGTATTCACTACTCAACACATTCACAAGGATGCAAGACTACATATTTCATTGATAAATGTACACTTTACTGTGCACCCATAGCAGTATTCAGAATACATAAAAACAATTATGCTGCATTTATATTGCTGTGTGGTAGTGTCCTGTCACTTTTCTGGTGCTAACCTAATGTATGCTTGTTGTAAGGGTAGACCTACATTATTCTAGTGTGGTGTCACACGACAGCTACTGAAAAATGTATACCTTATAGCATCACAACACAACATAAGACATTCACCTTTGAGATCCATGCTTATGGACCAATTTGCTTAGTGACCTAGTTGCAGGGCCAGAACTGTTGTTAAGCGAGGAGTGCCTGTAATTCCCTGCCACTTTGCAGAGAATGAAAAAGCCATGAGTCAAAACAGAGAGTGGCAACCAATAGGTGAAATATAACTACCCTGGGTTATGGCAATAAGTTACAGATGGTTTCCCAATACACTTTCCCCCTTAGTATTCTGCCCTGGAGGGAGAGTAGAGATGACAAACAGCTCTTTAAACTCAGACAGCGGACTACCCACTTGGAAATCCAGCCACGTGAAAACTGCATTAATCCCTCATTCGATGCCTAATGAAAACCATGGCCTCGGCCAGCTATGTCCTATTGCACAGCAACATGATTAGCCTCATGGAAACAAACCAACCAGCAAAAAGGGTGAGATGACATGGTTCAAGTAGTCAAATATTTTTGTACAAAAGTGACACGTGATTTAATATCACTTCTTTACTCTTTGATGGTGGGAACAGCTCGCTACATTTTTACCTCAAAAGACCTTGAAACCACACAGGTTGGCGTGCTCTTGTGAAAATGCCAGCGTGTTAGCGGCTGCCTGATAAGGACAGTCCCTCTGCAGTTCAAAAGTCAAGCTCTGGATGGGAGTAAGAGCTGTCAACCAGCCTAACTCATGCACATTCACAGTAGAGTCGCTGAGGCCAATGTACACAGAAGAGGTGCACCAGAGCAGGGGCTTTCAAAGGAGAGGGCTTTGTTTGCCAGCCACACACCAAATGATCCCCTCTCATCTGCTGTCTCTCTGCTTTACTGTAGAGAAATGCCCACAGCAACTGGTTGCGGCCCCATCAGCTGTGCATAACATTTCCTAAATGACATAGTCATCAGAGAGCACCTACCCTTACCCAGAAGGAAGAGAGCAAGAGGTAGGCATTTTAAGCATGGATGCCTTAACAAATAATTCTCGTTGCAGTGGATACTTTCCTTGTTTCGTTTAATGGAGACCAATCACATTGATTTAGGACATAACATTGATTAGTTTAAATGCACAACGTATCTGTGCTGGGGGATGTTAGTTTTTCTCCACAACAGTCTTCTAGGTTTATTGATGCTCTGTAATTTCCTCTACCACCTGGCTTTCAGAACTGAAAAAAGCATGATATGTGTTTGTTCTCTTTCCTTACACAATGCAAAGGTGTCTTGGAGGACTCTGGGAAGACAGGTCCTTCCTGCTCAGCACCCACTCTCATGGCAGTCCTGGACACCCCAGGGTATATTAGCTGATGGGTTCACCAGGGAATAAGGCAAGCAATGCCACCTCTGAGCTATCTCATGTAAATTAGTTGCTGGACACATATCCAGGCTTGGGTAGACCCAGGAGTTTGTGTTCATTTCTGCAGAGGAAGTGAGGCAGAGAGAACAGCCAGGTGTATGTGCACAGGCCTGCCTCCAAAACTTGGACTCTTGGGGCAGGGACATCAGTGGAAGTCTCTGACCTTTGGTTCTTCTCTTTCCAACCCTGATTCTGTCCCCCATCATCCTCCTGAAAAGGTGAGTGGATATCCCAGAGAAAAGATCCCATCTACTCAGTGCACATCACTCACAAATAGTTGCCCCTTGGACCCAGGGGTGTGTACACTGGCCTGGATTTGGGGAGAGGCCCAAGCACTCCTCTGGGCAGTAGGGTTTTTGGCTGTTTGAGAAAAGGGGTCCCAAGAGCTCAGAGAATGGACTTGAAATGGCCCAATATACTGCAGCTTTCACAGTGTGATGAGGAACACATCCAACCATGCATGGAGGGTCAATGTAGAGGCTCCTTAATGCTCCAGGCTGGGGCAGCACTTTGTCAGGAAGTGCAGCGCAGGTTATGGGTGACTCCCCGGTGGGGGTCTATGGGATAGGCCTGGAGGACCTGGGTGCATATAGTTTCATTTTTTAATTGAGGAGATTTGGACCACAGGATTGCTAAGGTTCTTCCTCAATCCCAACGTATTGGGTCCAACCCAATACATTGGGATTCTATGATCCAGTTTGTCATTGTTGAAGGCTCAATCTCAAACACCAAAAAATGATAATACAAAAGAATAGAAAACACAAAAAGTATTCAAACAAGTATAAAGATCTTCAGCATCAGTCTCTTTAGTTTAAAGAGATACTTGATGAGAGACTCTGGTTCACTGACAATCTGCTCAATAGTGGTGCTAAATTTGTCTTTCACAGGTAGCCACTTATCAACTAACCAGAGTATAATCATACACTTACTACTGAAGCTGTAATCAACATAATCAATAGATTGCAAACAACTTACAACAGCTCTGGTGTTCAAAGGGCCACAAACTGTGCACATCTATACTATATATAATGAACACATAACTCATTACAGAAATGTGGATGTCTGGGAATGTCTGAGGATTTAAGTTGACAATTTTCACAATGCTTAAAATTTCAAAGGCCATTTCTTTGGACAGGTGCTTTGATGCGGAATGTTCATCTCCTGATAGATGTTGATGGATGCAGGTAATGCCAGTCTCTCTTGGAGTTTATCATTGTCATAAGACACAGAAAACCCACTTACCTGTGCCTGGAGAAACACTGCTGTTGGCAGCCCTGGAAGGTGAGGCACACTCACAATTAGTGGTACTAACCTGTCCTTTCATATCTGGAGCAATGGGAATGGTGGGCCAGATGGTTGAGTAGATGCCAAAAAACACCAGCCAGATCAGCATGCTTCCCCAGACAGCCAGATGACTGAACTGTGGAAGAGACGAGACACTCAGGCCAGGCTCCTCAGCCTGACTGGGACATCTAGCAAGCTCTGCCTGTGCAGAATCCCCACCTGTCCAACTTCTGCTCTTTATGGAAGTCTTTCTAATTCCCTGTCTCAGAACGTTCAACCAAGAATTCAAGTAACTACTGATCCCAAACTAACTTGAAGATGAAATCTTCAATTTAATCATCTGCAAGTTCTGTAAGTTTTTTTTATACAAAATAAACTCAAAATCTGCTACCTCCTCTCCTGAGATCCCAGCCTAATTCGCGGTCATATACCACTGCATTAATTGCCAGTGTCTCTTAGGCATTTCCTGGTTCCACACTGTTCTCCAAGCCTGTCTCCATTTTTCTTAGCAGAATGTTTATCTATTTATTTATTTTCATCCTCCCTTTTTACGAATGTTTATTTGTTTATATATTTTTAATTACATTTAGTCACCGTAACTTTTTGCGGCTTACAAAATGAATCTTGCCAGCACGAACACTGTATATTAGTCTAGTGGATTACATTACTGGACGCATTACAGCAGCCAGATCATGAGATAAACATGGAGCATTAGTTATAATCCTCAAATGCTGGAAATAAACAAGATGTTTTAAAGCAAGGCACTGATGAAACAGACGATGGAACATCAGTAAAACCTAATACTCTTTAATCATGAACGATGACTGTACAAGTGTATTCTAAAGCATTAAAGATGTGCCTGACGTATCTTTAAGTAGGGAGAGAAAATGGCAAAACTCCATGGTCTATAATGGATCATCTTTTTTTGTTGTTGTTAAGAGAAATCTTTGCTATAGAGTACATATGCTCGCCAAAGAGACAGAGACAGACAGAGAGACAGAGGGACAGAAAGCAAGAAATCACCCCATAGGGGATGACCACGCCGTAATCCCTTCTCCTCCATTCTCCTCTCGGCATCTTGGGCACACATGCACATGGACCTGGCATGAGGTTTAAGCCACTGGGTCTGGGACTCGAACCACAGTTGACTACATGGAGTTCAATGATATAATCATTACACCATCTGCTAGTCTCTATAATGCAGCGTCTTACTAAAACATGGACACACATACACATATATAAAATAAAGTTTGGAATGTTATACAGTAAAGTGTTAACAATGACTATGTCTTGTGGCTAAAATGAAAATTAAAAATATTGTGTCCTCCTATGTTTTCCACATTTGCGTATGCAAATGTGTATAAGAGAGAGAGATCTTTATTTTTTTCAATGAGCATTTGAAATGAGCTGACTGTTAGTAGCTTAGAGCTGTAGTAAGTGCCAAGCAAATGAATCACCAGGAAACTTTGGACTGCAAATTTGTCCCGATAAAGATCAAACCACAATTTTTACATACAAAATTTAAAACAAAAGAGCTAGATAACCCTGATTGTTTTCCTAAGACTTAAAAAGAATTTATAGCATTAAAAAACAACACAAACAAACAAAAAATAAAGACAAAAAAACTATGGTAGATAAAGAAACAATTCCAGAAAACTTACTTTAGTCCAAGCTGTAGTCTCCAAACCAGCTTTCAGACAAACAGTAACAACAACATACTGTGAAAAGAAAGGGTTTGAGAAAGCATATTAATCTCAGTGAGTTGTTTTCACTTTCCCTGAGAAAGCTCCTGTCTCCTAGAGCTATTTCTTCCAAGGGACTATTTTGTTGGTTTGTTTTGTTTTGTTTTTGAGAGGTTTTTGCTATAGGGCACGTGCGCTCACTGGAAAGACAGAGAGAGACAGAGAGATAGAAAGTGAGAAATCACCCCCCAGGGAGGATGGCTATGCTGCAATCCCTTCTCCTCCATTCTCCTCTCAGGATCTTGAGCACGCATGCACACACACCCAGCGTGAGTTTAAGTCACTGGGTCCAGGACTCGAACTGTGTTCAACTACATGGGAGTTCAGCAACATAGCCATTATGCTAACTGCTGGTCCTGCAAGGGACTATTTTTTGAAAATACCATCTTATTAGCTGACTCTTTAGGAGTTATTTTTAGGGAACAGCCAGACAGATTTACTTCCCAAAAAGCTCTCTTTCCAGTGATCATCTTCTCACAAATAAGAGTTTTATCCTTTTCTTGGATGATTTGGGAGAAATCACCTTCCTGAGTGTTGTTTTCTTTTATAGGTAGATATGAAATGGTTATCTGAAGAATGACAGAATTGGGACCAGCAGTTGGCGTAATGGCTATGTCGCTGGACTCCCATGTAGTCGACCGCAGTTCGAGTCCCAGACCCAATGGATTAAACTCATGCCAGGCGCGTGTGCGTGCGTGCCTAAGATCTCAAGAGGAGAATGGAGGAGAAAGGATTGCAGCATGGCCAATCCCCTATGGGGTGATTTCGCACTTTCTGTCTCTCTGTCTCTCTCTGTCTTTCTGGCAAGCCCACGTGCTCTATAGCAAAAATCCTCTCCCCCCCAAAAAAAACTTTTTTTAAATAATGACAAAATCTGTTAGTTACTTAGCTGGAAACCTGATAATCTTCAAAAACTATGATGTAAACATGTCATAGCCATTCCAAATATTAAGGCACCTATAATAGATCATTCAAAGATTTCAAGTAAATAATAATAATGAAGAGGGCCTTATAGAAAGGATTTAGAGATACACAATCCACACATGTTCCATTTAAGAGTGGCTCAATAAACCGATAAACTTACTGTGTAAACAATATTTCCAACAAATAAATAATCTGTGGCGTGGCCACTGGCCAATGCGGTATCTGAAAAATAAAGAAGATACTGTTAATTTCTAAGAAGCTGAGCATAGCAGTTAATTTTACTTAGAAATAAAAATGGATCTTTAGAAACATCTATCAAAATGTAAAAGCAGTTCTTTTTTTGTTTGTTTGTTTTAGATTTTAGTCATAGGGCATGTACACTTGGTGGAGAGACACAGAGAGAGACGGAAAGTGAGAAATCACCCCTGGGCAGGAAGGGTGGCCATGCCACAACCCCTTCTCCTCCATTCACCTATAGGGATTTGCACACCTAATGGCATGTTTTTCAAGCCACTGGGCCTGGGACTTGAACTGTGGAGTTGGCCATGTGGGATCTAGTGCTTTAACTATCATGCTACATGCTGGCCCAAGGATTTCAAAATTACATTGCCTATGATTCAAATGCTTCCATCTCTCTTTCTTTCTTTCTTTGTCAGTAAACATGTAGGATCACCAGAGAGAGAGAGAGACAAAGAGAAGGATAGGCAGAAAGCACTCCATAATGGGCATGGCCACTCTGCAATAGATCCTCTTCCATTTCTCCAACCCATCAGGATTTGGGGTACACCCACACATATCCCATGTGTTTTTCAGCTCCTAGAACCAGTATTCAAACCACAGGGTCAGCCATGTGGGATGTAGCTCCCTTAACCTCTAGGCCAGGGGGTTTGCCTAGCTCCTTCTTTTTCTAACTATGAATACTTTTTATCTTTTCTTCTCTCTAAATGAAGCAAACAAACAAACAAAAAATCAAGTTTCATAACAAATCAAACAACCAGAACTTGATCTGCAATGATCTTTACTAGGTCACTAGCAGATTGCTGGGAAAGTCATGACGTATATTTCTATGTTTTTCTATGCAAATATGCATCATGACTCTCCCAATGACCCAATAATAGATTAAAATATCTTTTCTTTTTATTTTTTTAAAGAAAAGGGATAAGAACATATTGACCAGTCATTAAGTGCCAGCATTAGAACTTTTTCAAGTGTGCACCTCTTTCAGCTCACTGATTTTCCCATCTGCTCATTGAAGAATCTCACTTTCATTAAAGAATTCAGATCTATTTCTTTTCTTTTCTTTCTTTCTTTCTTTTTTTTTTTTTTTGGAGAGGTTTTTGCTATAGGGCGCATGTGCTCGCCAGAAAGGCAGAGAGAGGCAGAGAGACAGAAAGCAAGAAATCACCCCCCAGGGGGGATGGCCACACCACAATCCCTTCTCCTCCATTCTCCTCTCAGGATCTTGGGCACACACAACACGCATCTGCTGTGAGTTTAAACCATTGGGTCCGGGACTCTAACTGCAGTTGACTACATGGGAGTCCAGCAACATAGCCATTACGTCAACTGCTGGTGCCTGGATCTATTTATTTTCTCAAAACAGCGTAATGATCTAGTCAAGTCATAGGTGAGAGACCTGGTGATTGAGAGTCCCTGAATTGAGCTCTAGGGCAGGTACCATCTCCTGATTGCACATAGGTCAATTTATGGATAAGGGAGGTGACATTGTGGGATGCGTTAGGCATGGGCCTAAACTGAGGGGCTGCTGGGAAACATGAGTCACACTGAGCGAACAGAGAGAGCTGGGCACTGACTTAAGAAGGAACGATCTCGAAGGTTAAGAGAGAGGTGGTAAGGAGGCTACAGGCATAGACGGGACTTTGCTAAGTGAGAAGGAAGTGAAAAAGTTAAAAAAGTACGGGAGAGGCTAATAAACCTCAAGACGGCAACAAATGAATATACTCAATATACTCGCAGGAAGCTATTCAAAACTCTAGGAGTTCCCTTTGCAGTCACCGGCCCTAAGATTATTGAAACGATAAATGCAACACTTTCAAAGGCATGTCTCAGTAAAGAAACACTTGAGATTCAACAGGAGACCATTTCTTTAATTCTAACATAGATTACAGCCTTGAAAGGAGAAATATAATTCTCGTATGTACTCAATAAATATTTGATTGACGTTTACCTTATGCCAGGTACTATTATGGAACTGGGAAGAGAAGGTCTTTGTATTCACAGAGCTTCACTATAGTGAGGGAGACAGACCATAAATAAACAAACAAAAAGACGATAAATGTCAGGCATAGCTCTACACGGTACAGTAATAGGAAACAGAGTGTCAGAGGCTGCTATTCTAAACTCAGAACTCAGGGAAAATCATTCCAAAGAGTTGAACATTTGAGGAGATCTGAACGGAATGAGTGAGTTGAATGAATATCTAGAAATAATGTATTGGGATCACCAGATGGTATAGTGGTTACTTCGCTGGACTCCCATGTAATCGACAGTGCTTTGAGTCTCAGACCAGATGACTTAAACGCATAGTAAATGAATGTAAATAAATAAATAAATATAAATTTTAAAAATTTGAAAACAAAACAAAACAAAACAAAAAAACCTCATGCCAGGCGTGTGTGCATGCATGCCCAAAATCCCAAGAGGAGAATGGAGGAGAAGGAAATACAGCATGGCTATCCCCCTGGGGGGGGGGATGATTTCTCACTTTCTGTCTCTCTGCCTCTCCAGCAAGTGCACACACTCTATATCGAAAATCGCTCTTAAAAAAAAAAAAAGAAGAAGAAGAAAGAAAGAAAGCATGTATTCCATGTAGACAGTAAAAAAAGAAGAGTCTGAATACAGTTAACACTTGATGAGTTGAAAGACCACTGTAATCTCCAGTCTGGCTGGAGACACAGGGAGAAGGAAAAAGAGAATGTTCAGTCAAAGCAGAAGAGTTCTGATTTCTCTGTAACTTGTAATGGACGACCACTGGGGGATTCCGAGCTGGGCACAAAATAGCATAGGTTACATGCTTAGGAGGAATAGCCAATAGTACAGCTTTTACAGGAAGACAGAACACAAAGCTAATTGGAAATGACAATAATAACCCATGGAGGAGGGCGATACTGGTGATGCCAAAGCCGTGCAGTTCCATGGGGTAACCAGTTGCTCCATTTATTAATTTACGTTTAAATTAATAAAATTTTAAAAGTAAAATTAAATAAAATTTTACAAACACTTTGGAAACTAAAAGGCATTTGCTCAAAAGGTGACCCAAAATTACCCAACAATTTCATTCCTTACATATATAATCAAGAGAAATAAATGCATATGAATGAAACTCAAGAAAACTTGTATATGACAGCATTAGTTATAAGTATTCATGATGGTCTGAAACAACTAATTGCATTATGTGTTATTTATAATAGCCTATGTACAACCAGCTGTCTATCAACTGGGGAGTGGAAAATTAAAGTGTGGTATGTCAATGTGATAGGATATCACTAGGCAACACAAAGGAATGACACAGTGATACATGCTATGGCATGGATGAACCTTGAAAATCTTATGCTAAGTGAAAGGAGCCAGAGACAAAAGGCTATATATATTGAATTGGTACAAAGTTGTATTTGGACAAAAGATGCAGAATAAGCAAATCTGTAGGGACAGTACAGATCAGTGGTTGCCTCAGGCTCGAGGTGTTTGGGGGAAATGGAAGGAGACTGCTTATGGGTATGAAGTTTCTTTTGGGGGAAATGAAAACATCTGAAAATTGATTATTATGTGGTTTGCATAACTCTATGACTATATTAAAAACCATAAAAGTTTACACTTTAAATGAGTGAATTGTATGGTACATAAATTATATCTCAATAAATCTTCCATATTGGCAGAAGGTGCATGAAGTCATGAGAGAGAGAGGGAGAGAGAGAGAGAGAGAGAGAGAGAGAGAGAGAACACGCACTCCCAATGGGGTATGGCCACATCTCTTCTCCATTTCTCTCTCTCAGGATTTTGGGCATGCACGCATACACACTCGGTGTGACTCTAAAGCTTCCAGGGTTGGCATTTGGACCGAAGTCTGCCATGTGGGATTCAGTTTCCTTAACAATGAGGCTACAGAGCAGGCCCTTAATAATTTGTTGTGTTTTTTTATTTTGGGGGTGGGTGGGTAGAGGACACATGCACTTACCAGAGAGAAAGGGAATCATACAGAGAAAGGGAAAGTGAGAAATCACCTCCCATGGGGGGTGGCCGTGTCACAACCCCTTCTCTTCCATCCCTCCCTCCTCTCAGGTGTTTGGGCATGCACAAGCACCCATCATGGTTATTATGCTGCCAGATCTAGGACTTGAACCTGCAGTCAGCCATGTAGCATCCAGTTTCCTTAACCATGACCCCACTGGGCTGGCCCAATAAATTATTCAAATTTAAAATTTATAAATCAGTTCCTCAGTTGCACTAGTTGCACTTTAGCTGCTCAACAGATGTATATGTTAGTGGCTCAATAAACACAGGTTGGTGGCTACGCTTCCAACCCTGCAGAAAGTCCTACCAGGTGCTCCAGGGCCAGAGGGGGTCTCATCAGAGGGGGAAAAAGTGGAAGAAACTGGCATATATTCTGAAGGCAGAAATGATAAGATTTGCCCGTGATTTGGATCTGGAATAGACAAGAACATGAGGAATCGAGAGTGTTACCAATGTTCTGTGCCTGAGCACCTTTGTAAACAGTGTGTCCATGCTGCCACGATACTCCTACCTCAGTCTCCCACGTAGCCGGGACCAAAGGCACTCACCACCATGTCTTGTTTTTAGTGTGCACGTATGAACCTGGGGCCTCCAGATGGCCTCAGTTTGCCAAGCAGCAGTGTCTAGTGCATGTTCTCGCAAAGGACCTTCGAGTGATCAATATTTTAAGTGTAAACCAAGAAAAACAGATCGCAATGGAACATGACTATATTATAAGAAAAAGAAAAAGGATATTTAGAAAAGTGAGGTGGTGAGAAGGAATTAGGGATAGTGGGGAAAAATTTTAAAAACCTAGTAATGACAAAAGACAGTTATCCAGTCCTGATCTCTGTTCCAGCTCTACAGTTATTTAGTTTATAAAAGAGCTTATGTTTGGGGTCAGCAGGTGGTGTGGTGGTTACGGCACTGGACTCCCACATTGCTGCCCATAGTTCAAGTCTTGGATTCAGCAGCTTGGAACTCACAATGGA